CAATTTGTACAAATGCAAAATACACAAAGTATTTGAAATACTATTTCAAATACTTGAAATACTGCCCATCCCTGCTTCACAACTATATTTGAACAGTCTGCGGATAGTTTTTGTACTGCCAATGTAGTACATTGGTGGAAAGAGGTACTACCTCGTACTACCTTGTGTTGGTAGTACGAGGTAGTGCATTGGTCGTCGTACGAGGAAGAACCACGCTCAGACAGTGTACGCAGACTGGCTTTTTGCATGACGTATTGGCAGTGCGAACGCGGCTCAAGAAACGATGTGCTTGGCGGTTCCCGAGAATCTTGGTATCACTCCGCGGCCAATCAGATTGCAGCGTCGGTCGATAGGGACGGCGAAGAAGGAATCGCGAAGCGTGAAGCATTAACATATAATAAACCACGCCCCGCGATTCTTCAGCTTAGGCCAACAGCTTAGAAAACAATGTTTCTTAAGCTGTCAGCTTGGGAGACATGTTTCCTGCTTCGTTCTTCGGCGTTAAAAAACGCACTCAGCCGGTGGTGCGAGTTGGGCCAAAAACCGGTATCAAAACTTCGCCTGTACGGAACGCAACTTCGTCTGCTTCTTTTGCACGGTTTGTAGTGACGCCAGAATGCCAAGCTCTGATTGGCTGGGACCCGAAGGTAGACCTCAAAGCACGTTGCCTTGAGGTTTACTCTAGTAGCACACATAGCTCTGTGAATGTCCTTAGGATGTCGTAACGTTCCGGGTACGTCTTGTGGACGTTTATAGGACATGCATCACCTCAACATTGGAACATCTTTAGAACACCCTATACTATAAAAAAAGTGTAGTCATGCACTCATTTGCAATGTGCAAGTTACTAAAAAAGAGTGTTTAAGTTAATTCGCTGAGTATTAGCCCCAAAGTAATTTCAGCAGAGTAGAAATTACTCAAATGGAAAGTAATTGAGTAAATTACTAATTACCGTGAAAATGTAGCAAATTACCTTTGAAGTTTTTTTTTTTTTTTTTTTATTCTAACAAGGAAGTTTATAGGTCTTTATACGCTAGTGGAATTCGGCTAGCCGAATATAACGCGGAAACACGGAAATACTTTAATAGCTGGTTCTGCTTCTGCATGCCTAATTGTTTTGTAATTCTTTTTGGACATTGACGTATTGCGGATGTATCATTTCTCCTTTGAGGTTTAGCATTGCCAGAGCCTGATTTTGCAGACAGTGTTTGCTTGTTAAGTGTTGCGTAAAGTACGTATGAAAACTACTTGAATGTACAAAGTAAATGGGAGGTTATGTACTTCAAGTAAAGTAGTAAGTACACCGAGTGCAATGTACTTGAAGTAAAATCCTATGAATACAATGTGCTTTCAAAGTAAAGTAGAAGTACTTTCTAACACAATCTTTCAGAATGCCCTTTGATCCCCTATAGAGCGTTTTTTTTTTGTTCTTGTTATTTTTTTTTAATTGGTTTGCATTGCACCAGGGGTAATCGGAGGTGCATCCATCTTTTTTTCGGAAATGGCGGCAAATGATATAAGTCGCCACGAAGTATTTTTTTTTATTATCGCTGACGAACTATTTAACACAATCAACTTATAAGGCACTTATTTAAATCGGTCTTATAGCCGCCAATACTTCACACGGAGAAATGACCAGATGATATCTCGAAAGACAGCACAAACTATACAGGAGCACCAGATGAGCTTCAGAGCAGGTGCTGCATTTTGTTACCTGCTTTGAGTGAGCATGCAGTGTGTACACCTACTGTAGTGGGCAAGAGTTCCTGCGTTGGGGAGAAGAGGGGGCAAGCCCTTTCTTCAAATTCCTCAAGTCTCCTTCAGCTTCGGGACACAAAAAAAACACGCTAGTCTTTGGCGCTAATCCCGTAGTTACTCGGCCTCTCTTGCGTCGTGTGTGTTCGCTCTACGGGACTTGTAGCAGTGCTCTTGCAGTATAGGGGCTCGTAAAAATGTTGGGGGGTTTCGGGCACTCCAAACTACTTTCTTCCCCCCCTCCCCTCCCTTGCCTACGCCACATGCTTCCCCCTATTTGCAAATATCAGCTGATCTCCCAACCTCTTACCTCCTTTTGTGCAGGAATGATTGTTTATAAGCAAATCTACTACAAAAATTCGAAGGTAATTTGTAATTTGAGTAAAAGTTACTCGGAAAAAGTACTTTAAAGAAACTGCTAATTACCGAAATAAAAATGTATTTGAAAGTTACTAAACTACTCAGAAAAGTAGTTGAACTACAGTAACTTGAGTAGAGTAGTTGAACTACGTACAAGTCTGCTCATTTGTCCCAAAACCTGAGTTCGACGTACAGCGTACTGCCGTCGAACAGACGGCCCCAGCTTTTACGAGGGGCTTCATAGCGATGCGATATAACTTATTAAACAGGTAAAGTACGTACCAAACGCTACAACAACAAAACAAAAAACAAAAACAAAAAACACTGAAATCTTGCAGTAAAGCCAAAAAAAAAAAAAACGATTATTGTTGTTGTTGTCCTATCGCCCGTGAAAGTTGGTACGTTCGGTTCGACGTACCAGTGCGCTGTACGTCAAACTGAAGTTTTGGGTGTATTACATGGGTCAAGGGGCGTAAGTACTACACCCCCATTTCTGAGAGTGTGAGGACATCACTGGAACTAAGTGTGCTACTAGGGTACCCGCCATCCTTCAGTCAGAGATTATCGGAGCTCGGCGTTCTGACGTCACCACAATCCCTGCAAAAGGAGCAGACGAACTTGCGCCACCGCTTTGGCACATCACTTCTTGTAAAGTAAACGAACCGTCAAACAACTCATAGCAGGGCTCCGGCGTTTCCTCCTCTAATCACCGCGTGTGGCCAGCGCAAGACCAGTCTACGATTACGCCGAACGCCTCCGGGGTTGTTCCGGGAATGACACGCGAGGAAAAAAAACCTCTTTGTCAAAGGATCCGCCGAAAATTGTAGCCACGCACCGCAACGCGACAGCTTCCTGTAACTCAGATCACGCAAACAGCGGCCTCTGCCACCCCGTGGGCGCCGTACGTGTGGCTGGCTTACTGGCAGGGGCCCATGCTTTAGGCACCGTGGTGGCCGCAGCAAGCACTTCGCGGCCGTTTTTGGACAGTTCCACTCCAGGCGGGGACCAGTTTGAAATAACGCCGCGTCTGCGCACAATGCATCCTGACTGGGCGGACCAGGAAGTGGCTTTGCGCTTGCTCCTCGGCCACTTAGACCTGTCTTTGACCCTGGTATAAAGGGAGAACCGAAAAATAAGGGGCCAAAATGGCCGGCAGACGCTGGGGACGCTGAAGTGCGCCCGACGATTCGTTTTTTCGCCGAGACAATAGAATGGCTCGGAGCGTAATTTTTAAAGGCAAAGGGAGAGAAAGAGGTGCGGCCTTTCAACGATCCGCGGGTGCCGAGTTGGCCCTGTGATGAGCTTGAGCCGGCAATTTTAGAGGTCGCTTTTTCGGGGCAGGACGTTTTGGGTTCTCGAGTCTAACCACACGGTATCCCGTTCGTTAATGCGGTAGTTTAGGGTGCCGAGTGTAAAGTGTGAGGTCACGCACGCCGTTTCGGAAAATTCTTTGTCTTTGTTGTCGAGCACCCTCTTTTTGTCTTCTACCCTCGAAAGGAAACAAGAAGACAACAAGGTGTAAATTTCCACTGCCTGGTATCCTTTGTAGTTTCGCTTTTAGGTTTGAGCTTATGGTTTGCAGGGAGATATTAGACATCACAACAGCGCTACAACGAGCTGCACAATGTAGTATTAAGTCACACGTTGTGAGATATATTAAAAATTCCTAGGACACCTAAGCACTTCTTATGATGCGCTGAACGCACGTGCTTGATGACTTGCATTTAGGCGCCGTTTCGCCCAGCCAATGGGTATTTAGGTACCATTACACTCAGCCAATAAGACTAGGTGCCGTTTTTCGTGGTTTCAACTTTCAGGCAACGCGGGCTGCGTTCCATGGGACAGTTAATGCTTTCGCACTAAGAATAGCTCCTCATAGCAATATCTTACGTATATCATCGTATTTCTACTAATGTTTTTTTTTTTCAGTAATGTCGCAGGTATAATCACACAAAATAAAGTAAGCAGTATAATCAAAACAAAGTTAAACTGTTGCACAAAAAAAAACAAAAAAACGTCTCACAGCACTTTCCGATTCAACAGTTCACAACACTTCAACGAGCCTTTGTGCAGTGTACCAATTTATTAACTTTAATACTGGAGTGAACTCTTAAAAATTGTATTCATTCTCTCTCTGTCTGTCTGTCAGTCTGTCTGTCTGCCTGTCTGTCAGATTTGAAAATGATGTTGATTATACTCAAGTACAACTTTCCACCGGCAGCGTAGTGCAACCGACAAGCAAGCGTGACTAGTTTTGACTAGCCCTCCGTCCCTACACCTTTCAATGACTCGTGCGGACACCCATACAGACCGAGCGATGAAGTTTTAATCGACAGGTAGCGCCATCTCATGCGCACATTTCCGCAGCTCTGAGACGGCCCGCGGTCGCAATCCTTGAACCACGATTTCGAGCTCTAACGCTAGAGTGCCTACTGTGACGCAGCCGAACTTTGGCATGGCTTGCCCAAAGTTTCCCTTTTTGGCCACCACCGGCGCTGCATGACTAGCAACCGACCGATATGCGCCTAATGATCACTGCCCCTGGGGCCAAAGCTTCAGTTCCTCTGCCACATTGAAAGTTGCCTTCGAGTTACGACGTTTCTATGGTCACCTGACAACGGTGAGAACGACAAGGAGGTGTTTCGGTTGTCCCGCTTCCAGCACGGCCTTCCCACCTTCGACAACACTTCGGTCTTTCGTGCACTTCGAGCGCGTGCGCGCAGCCAAGGCACGGCGGAAGGCATGGAGCGAGTGCTGGATAAAGACACGCTCTGCCGTTCTCATTCTGTCAGAGACTCCGGATTCTCTCGTCCCCTCTTCTCCCTCAATTTCGGCCCGTACGGGCTGATTTGTACACTTGTCCTCATATCCCGATCTTCCGCTAGGCCCACTGCGCAGACAAGGTACAGGGAGCCTACGGACGGGAGGTGGACTCTTTCGGCAAGCGGAGACGACGGTGGACGAAGGATGCTGCGTCGAGGGCTCGTGGAGGTCGCTCCGGAGGCGACAGTTCTTCGACCAAGGACCAGGGTGGCGAAGAAGACGACGACGAGCTGGTGGTCGTTCAGACCATCCACATCACCGACAAGTTTGGTTTCGCTCGGAGCCAGCGGAGGAACGACGACAACAGCATCGACGGAACCCTGAAACAAGACACGAGTGAGTGTTCTTGCTTCTTGATGACGATGGCGATGCGTAGTGCCCACACCAGGTGTGGGCACTGCGCGTGAGCAGAAATCAGATTCCCGTGACGGGAAGCGTGTACGCATGCGCAATGCTGACAGCAGCGCCACCACGGTGGCGTGAAGTTTATTTTTATCTTACTTCATTTTATTTCCCAACACCGCCATTCCGGTTGACGGCCAAAGCAGAAGTAGGCTTGCACAAGCATGCCCATATGTTCCTATACAGAATGAAGAAATAACACTGGAGGACAATTTACGTAACGAGATAAACAAAATATTAGCATATTGCGCCCACATTCACCATCAAACATTGTGTTCATATACGGTATATTGTGGTACCTACAAAGACTGCCAAAAACACCTTCCTCGGTTAAACTTCTTTGTGTGTGTGAGTGTATGTATGCATAATATAATCAACATGCTTGTTCCATTTAAGCTCACTCGACAGAGTTACTCCTAAGTAGCTGTAGCTGTCAACTTTAGTGATCCCTATACCTTTAAGTTTATAATAGGACAATAAAACATATTCTTTATTGTAACTTGAATGCAAGTTTTACGGGCGTTAATTACTAATTACATTTACCAGAGAGTTGAGTTGCTCTATAGTTCAGTGCTGAGCATTCACCGTCGCCATGAAGTAATGCGCAAAAAGCGCGCACCAAAAGTAAAAAAAACAAAACCAAAAAAAAACAATGGACGTGAGTTGAGGGAGTAACAAAGTGTGAAGGACAGAATTTTCTAGCAAAAGGTTACAGTTTGCATTTGCGGGACACAAAGTTATGGAGACAAAAATAAAAATAAAAAAAACTATCGAGCCTGGGAACAAAATATGGTGGGAAACCACACTTAGGAAAAGAAAGCGGATCATTTTTCTCTCAAGCGGGAGCAATCCGGTAGGTCATTCCTCATGGCAGCTTCTCCGTCCATGTAGTGTGTCACAACGCGCGAATATCTAAGCTCTCTAGCAGATAAGGAGCGACCCGTTTGAACATTTTGAGTATATGGTTGCATGGAACGCGTCTCCGACTGGTGTGTTTAGCGCGCCCAAAAAAGTGGTCCCTCGATTTCCGCCTGATGACGTCATACAAGTGTCATGCTGTCGCCGGTCGCGATCCTGGCGGCGTCCCAACAGCGGTGGTGTTTGTAACAGATGCCTGATCTGCTCCAAGTCGCTCTCAAGTGTGGCGGTCCACTGAAGTTTCGGCAGCCAGAAGTTGGGACGCCTTGACGACAGCGAAACCCGTCTTCGGTTGTGCTACTCGCAGCCTTCTCGTTAGCATTTCCACGACCAGTCGCCAGGATCGCGACATGCAACAGCGTGACACTCCGGCTTCGGTGACGTCATTTGTTGCAACTTTGGGACCACTTTTCATGTGTGGGCGGGATGGGACGCTAAACACACCAGTCGAAGACGCGCTCCAGGCACCATAATTTTGAGGCTCGCAAATTGACACTGTCGTTTCTTTTTTTCACGTTTTTGCGTTCGCGTGTTGCCAGACTCCCGCACCAGAGTGTGCCAGCGCTTTCGTTGCTTGAAAACCCTGCGGTGGTCCGCTTCTGGCCACAACGGCGTTCCAGCCGCTACACGAATATGTGTCCTTGTGCGTGTGTGTCTGTGCATACGCATATTCGGGTACCCGCGTGCTTTCTTTCCTGGTTGAATGTTCTTGCGTGGTTCTATTTGCGTGCACATGTTTTTGTGTGCGTGTACGAGTGTTGACGGGTCCATGCTAATTAATACGCAGCGTCACACAGTACAAACAATCAATGCGGTGAACAAGTATGCTTCTTGCGTACGGCTTGCAGTGACGTCAGAACGACCCCGAGCTCTGATTGGCTTTGATTGAAAGGATAGTGGGTAGACTTTAGTGCTAGATGCCTTGAGGTATACCCTCTCTTTTATCTCAATCAACCAATTAGAGTTTGTCGTTCCGACGTTATTGCAACCCCTATGCAACAAGCAGACAAACTTGCGTTCCACATTGCCTTTCCTATTATTTTCGTTTCCTTTTAGAATTTAAAGGTTGTTACCAAAAGTATAGTCTGGCGGCAGAGCTGGGCAGTGTCGCGATACAAATGTATCGCGATAGTATCTAAGAGATAGTTTTGACGATCTGTAACTCTGTATTGAGATACATTAAAAAAATGTATTTGTATTTCAGTAGTGAAATACATTTACAATGTATCGCTTGTATCGCGATACTTTGCCAGACTTGGGTATCTTGTTACATGTGTTATAATTATAATGCAATTAAATGCAAAGGTGCAAGCGAGCTGGGGTTGCGGCTGATAAAACCCGTTTGCTCTGCTGACGTCTAACCCCTGGTTAGCTCAGTTGGTAGAGCGCTCCACCTGTAATGGAGAGGTCCCGGGTTCGATACCCGGACCAGGCGGATTTTTTCGGTCGCTCTCCAGTCACCTAGCTGTGTTTGGAGTTTTGTGTTTGTTCTTTGTCCCTCTTGTTGCCCTTCTCCAGGGTTTATTTCCTACATTTGTTGTCCTTTTTAAGATACATTAATACCCCTGTTACACGGGCACACTTAACCGCGGTTAACTCAGCTTAACTGCTGTTGCGCGGCACCACAGATACTGCACTATACTCTCTGACAGCTATTTCAGAAGAAGTGAAGAGCGCGCGCGCACTGCTTCGATAAATGCTGAAGATGCTCAAGCGCACGTTCGCCCATAGCTTTGACTGCATTGACGCAGAATGTTGTCCGCAAGTATTGTGCACTATCTGTGGCTTAGCGTAACTGCAGTTAAGTGTACCCGTGTAACAAGGGTATTAGAAGATAAAAACGTCTGCTTTGTACAAGTTGCTTCGTAAGTTACCAATACGAACCAACATTAAAAAAAAAACTCGTTTAAAGAAGGTTATTTGCTAGAATAACAAAATGAGCTCCTCTCCCTAAGCCCTCCACTCTGTCCAATTTAGCAGAGAGAACGCTGTAAAGGAGTGTAGTGGAGAAAAAGCACGGCCCTGTTCTCCAATTTCTCCACACTATGGCTGACACAGAAGCATAGAGTACGACAGTTTGAGACGCGCCCTTACGGTAAAACAGGGATCATTTCGGGCAGACGCCTTTTGTCAAGCATGGCACACAGTTTTTACTAGGTTTTTACCGTTCTGCAGCTATGTGGTTCAACGGGGGTGACATTTTTTATTATTTTTTTTTAGCGGCATTAATGATAAGTAAGGAGTTCCAGGTAAAGCGAACAACATAAAATGGCAAGAAAAAAAAAAGGAACACAAGCATAAATTACCGTTCGCATTCGCCATAAACTACACCCTCCCCACGTAGCAACTTTGGGAACAAATGTATTTCTATGAGTATCCGTATCTGCATTCCGGAATACTGCTTCGCCGGTTTTGGAGAAGTATCTCAGGGATATGCTGTAGCATAAAGGTACGTTTATACTTCAACGTAACGTCAACGGGCGCGTTGTAGCGCAGCGCACACTGATACTGATTGGTCGCAGATATCAAGTTCCTTTTGGCCGGCCAATGAAAGGCGCGCGTTCTGCGCTACGCTGCGTTCACTGCGTTCAACGTCGGAGTATAAAAAGCCCTTAGAAGACAAATGTATCTCAGTATCTGTATTTTGTACCTTAAAACACATGTTTCTCAGTATTTGTATTCCCGAATACTTTTTCGAGTATCTCTGCCCAGCCCTGTCTGGCGGCAAGTATATAGATATAGATATATATATACTTTTTATGATCGTTCTGGGGACTAATCATTTTAAGCGGTAACTTTTGGTGCGCGCCAGTGCCGTGTAAGAGCAAAATGCGAGAGGGCGTCGATCTCGTATTCGCGCTAAAGTGTCTGGCACTGCACTTTCACGCAGATGGTTAACGCAGCACGTGTGCTCGTGTTCGTGCGTCTACGCGCGCGCTCTTCCCAAAACCACGTATAAATTTGGATGGGTGTGTGTGCGCGCTTTAAGGCCTGTTCACACATACAGCGGAGCGCTAAGTTAGCGCTACGTGAGCGCTTCCTAGCGCGTGACTTAGTTCTAACACAGCGCGCGATTAGCGCTTCTGTAGCGCCTCGTTAGCGCTCTAGTAGCGCCTCGTTGCGCTCTAGTAGCGCCTTGTTAGCGCTCCAGTAGTGCCTTGGTAGAGCTTCAGTAGCGCCGTGTTAGCGCTTCAGTAGCGCCGTGTTAGCGCTTCAGTAGCACTTCTTGTACCGCGGTGCTGCGGATTAGCGCGTGCAATGCGGTTCCGGTTCCTGTGGTTGGGTGTGCATAAGCAGCACCAGGGCGGACATGTGGGATGCTGAAATAGAAATGCGACAAATGCTCTTAGATACGTGATTAGTGCTTAACGTCCAGAAGAGCCTTCTGGGTGCGCGAAATCTTTCGCCACCCAGATACCGACGGGTACCCGGCGAACCTTGTTCCCAGGCTGAGGGACCGAGACACAGAGCTCTTTCGAAGGTGATTATTCTTTAACTTAGCGTCTTTGATACCTGCAGGGTCACGCATATCGAATAGAAATCGATGAGGTCGTACCCATATTAGTCGCTCAGAGTCCATGACTCTGGATCACCTGCCCGACCCTTAGCTTGGAAGCGGCTCTTTTACTTCCTCTTCTTTCAATGCCAAAGGAAAAACAACGACAAAGGAATCGCCGTGCACGCGCTGTTTTGCAGCAGCAAGCACGGCACAAAGGGCGTGAGAGCGCTTCTATAGCGCTAACAGAGCGCTAACAAAGCGCTTCTGAAGCGCTAGCAGAGCGCTACTGAAGCGCTATCCGAGCGCTACATCACGCGCTAGGAAGTGCCACATGAGCGCTCCTTGGAGCGCTCACGTAGCGCTAACTTAGCGCTTCGCTGTATGTGTGAACCGGCCTTTATTCTAACTCGACGCTGGTGCGTGATCGCACCTGGTCTCCTCTAGCGTCCCCACAAATGCAGCGTAATGCTAATATCATGCCCCAAACCTCGCAGACATCGAAGAAGGCAATTTTGTTCCAGCATTGTCCAACTTCAACTCCGCGTTGGGCTTCAGCTGCGGCGCCCTTTAAACGCTGCACTGTGATTAATAACACTATTAGTGTCCACTAATAAGCTTCAGTCACGCCGAAGCCATGAGACCCGTTTTCTTTTTTGTTTGTCTCCTTGGTTCTCCCGCGTTCTTCCGAAAGCGCTAGCTCTCGGACACAGGCAGAGAGCCTGTTGATTGATGAAGCTGACTTTCATTACTGCTATACCCATAGTAATTGCTTCCTCAAAGCTGGTTCCTGGGCGGCATACGCCGGCGAGGGGAACCATTAGAAGAAGAGTTCACTGCGCCACGCATTTTGTTTCTGTGTTCCTACCAGACGATGAAAGCAAAAGATCGTTGTTCCTGGGCGGGCGCGATACACGACGGAGGTGCATCTGGGGAGGTTCGTTATCGAACGCGTATCGGTGCACGTGTACATTTGCATCTTCTCTGGCGAGCGGCGGGCAGGGCTCGTTTTGGAAAACGGGTAAGATTTATAAGTGCGAATGGGCACTAAACCGCACCCTCTAAACATATAACGGCTAAGTCGGGCAAGGGGTTGTTCGCCACGTTAATCGGTGTCGTTTAGATTTTGGTTTAGATAAACTGGTGCATCCCTCACTGCTACGTTAGCGGCGCAACGCGCTTTGTTGTGCCGCCATGTGCTTTCTCAATTTTTTTTTTCTTAGATAGCTTTTAAATGAGGTTCTGCTCTCGAATGGTAAAAGGGCTATAACTAGTGATGGGCGTCTGTGAAAGCACGTTTTCGTGCTAGAGACTCACCAGTTGTACACTGATCAGAGAATAATTTTGTAGGTAAATCATTTTAATGCTATCGTAAACTTGTCACATTGAAGCTTAATGGATTTGTTTAAAAGAAGCCGTGAAAGCGACTCGAATGCTGTTTATGCAGGTGAGTTATACGACCAGAGGAAAGAGGGGGGGGGGGGGGGGGGGTAGTGTAAGGGGTCCAACCGTAGCGATTAGTCGGCTCATCATTTAGAATATCTTAATGAACTTTTAATTATTGAAAATAAACATATGGTTCTCATTTGAAAATTGTTGAGCGTCATTGAAAATTACGAAATGATATTAGAAATACTTGGAGCACGTGGAAAGCACGATGGAGGGCGATTGTTATCAGTCGTGTAGCATGGAGCAGGGCTACAGGTGCGATAACTCGCCAGTGCGGTTTTTCCCTTTCTCATCTAAGCCTTTTGCCTGTTGCACGAGAAATGACTTTAGCGCATTTCTTCGCTTTACACGCGCTCAGAATCTTTCTAAAAAAAAAGACCGATTTAGTGGTTATCGATAAATAGTTAATTAGCAAAAAAATTAGTTTATTATTTGACTTATCGCGACGATTACCCTCCTGTATTGTGTCACCCTGACCGTATAACTCACCTGCACAAACCGCATTGATGTAACTTTCAGTTTTCTTTTATAGCGGAGCTGTTAAAGTTTCCCCAGGATCGTGTTTGTCCTCAAATGACCTGATGACACAAAACTCTGGAGAACTAACGCCATTTATAAGCGACGGCGGACACCAGACAACCGGCTTGCCAGTTGTCTGGTTGCCGCCGTCGCTCGTAGATGGCGGCCACCTCTCCAGCCTTTCCGTTCTGGCTTGCCGACTTGCGGCCGGCCATTACTTCATTCCCACCATAGTACAGCTTCGCCGGTCTTCCTTCTTCACCAGAATGGGAAGGCCGAAAGGTTTTGTTTTTTTCTTGAAGGCGAATGTTTTATATATCCCATTGCGCGAAAAGGCGGCGTCGGCGTTGTGCCCGAAAGATGTCCATTAAAAATACGTCATCGAGCACGCGCCGCTCAAGGTCAAAGTGGACGCGCCTCAGAAATAGAACACAAAGAAAAGCACACCAACGCAGATGCTTCGACACGGAAGCCGTGAAGTCGGCAAGGACGCCGCGTTTCCGCAGTGGGGAGGGTGGTGTCGCCGCTGGAGCGCCGTGTGCAAAAGGAAGCCGTGGCGCGCTGCTTGCAGGAATGCGCTGCGTGTAGGAATGCGAAAGCATTTCTACACGTAAGCAGTCTTAAGTGTCTTCGGTGTTGTCTTTTTTTTTAAAAAAAGTCTGTTAAGTTTAGAAGGAAACACCCTGTATATATGCTAACGCGCTGTCTAGAAATAAGTAGGCGTCAAATAAACCAAGTTCGCTTGAGATGAAGCGTCGTCTGCCCATATGCGCCGTGGCGCGGACAACAGCATCATCGTAGCGGGATGACGTCGAAGCCGCATGTTGCTAGTCTGCGCGACTTGGCTTTAACGCGGATGAAAACGAGTCTTCCAGGAATGTATAAACACTCCAGAAATATTTTATTTTTGTTTTTGCATAACTACAGGTAAATTGTATATGACGGGAATAGACAGCTCAGAAAACGTAGACGAAGAAAGGCAACTTTTCTTCGTCTGCGTTTACCGAGTCGTTTGTCCCCATAATATATATATATACTGTTGGCCAACTGGCCCAAGTTGCTCTACCTTAGTGCAGATATATATAAGGAATAACGCAATTAGGACGACCAACTCCGCTGATTAGAGGCGTGTTACACGAACGCCGTTAAAAGTTTACGCGACATTCCCGCCGCCATCACCCAGCAGAGGGATGACCCTCGCACTGCCTCTTCCCGGCGAAAATTGGTCGGCGTTATTTAAGCACCACACGCGCCGCCGCTGGCGCGCCATCAACAAACGCGCCGCTCGATTCCTGTCCGGATGCGATTCACGTCTATGGACTCAATCGGCGGACCGTGATCCTCGATTCGGGAAATCGTTCTCACAGTGAAAAAAGCGCGGCGCGCGTGTAATCGGAGCTGCACGCTCACCCCCCGGCGAACCGCGGCGTAAAATTCCGCTCTGAAAAGACACGGACGACCAGAACGGTCCCTCTCGCCTGTCCTTCTATAAAAGAACGCCGAGCGGGGTCGGGCGTTTGTCCGTACACACATGCACTCGGCTACTCGGGACGACGGGATGTGGATCACGACCGCGCCGTTGTGGTCCTTTAAAAGGTCATCCGCTGCCGGAACTGAACGCCGCGAGTTCTGTCGGGGGGTGACTCAATCCTGGCGGCGCATAGGTGGAATGGCTGTCGGCGGTAGCATAACAACCACGGCTTCTTTTCTTTTTTGTACTTTGGTTGTTTTATTTTTATAATGTTGAAACTCGTGTCGCTTTTTTGATTTCCGGGAAGCTTCGGGATTGATTCTGCACGTTCCACATCCAAGCCTTCAATGCGCTGCTGTCATCGCAGGGCGTTGTTTGGAATGCTACGCTTCCAAACACGCCAGGAGGATAGCTTTGAGCGTGAAGGGATTAGAAGGTCCGAGAGAGAAGTTACTCCCGGGACCTTCTCACGGCCTGTGACTTGATCCTGATATCAGATGAGGAGTGCGCAACATCACGTCGCTGTTGCCATGAACACCTGGTGGGACATACAGTCACGGCATGTCTGCTTGAGAAACACGGGACGTGGCGAGTTTTGTACGCCTTGCTATCACTCCGCAAGCAATGAGATGGCAGCCTTATCCAATAGGAATGCGAAAGAGCCAATCACGAAGCAGTAAGAGTAATATAGACCAGGCTCCTTGTTTCTTAACCTGCCAGTTACTGCAGTAGATAAAGCATTTACTTTAGTCGAAACGGTCAGCATTTTGAGAAGCTATCTTACTTATTGTCTTCCTCTGACAGTGAAAACACCGTAGGTTAGTTATGGGTGTGTTCTACAGTATTCAGCAAGAACAAAGGAACGACATTTGCTAACAGAGATAGTGAGAAAGTTGCTAGAACCAACAGGCCAAATCCTTTTGCCCGGCTCTCGACAGATCGTGACCAAATTGGAGCTCAGATTTGGACTGGCATGAGGGTACACAACTGAAAATCTCCCCGCAAGTATTCTAATTGTTTTATGGCATTTTATTTTCGCAGTGCTCATGTCGACTGACGGTTCGGGCTGCGTCAACGTCATCGGCCTCATCGTCGCCTGCTCGCTGTTCCTGATGGCTCAAGTTGTCCTCCTCCTGGTCTGGGGATGCGTCTGGCAACGACGGCGAAAAACCAAACTCGAGGAGAGCGTGACTCCGAGCATCGACATCCTTTACTCGTCATCTAGTAAGATCTACTAGATACGAACAGCCACCTACCAAGGACGTGGGAGGCGTTCGATCTATGCTTCCTGTTCTTCGAACTCTCATTTGAAATGCTGGACTGTCGCGCCGGTGATAGGCCTCAAACACGATGAACTTTAATTTTTTTTAAGTGCTTTATATTTGGCTGCCTTTTAAACCGTGCTGCCATTTCTATGTGGAGGTCTTGCAAGAATCATTCCATTAGCAAAAGTTTATCATCGATCATTCGTCATTCATTAAGATCTACTTGCCACAGGCGGTCACCTATCGAGGACGAAGGAATCGTTCGACCCAGGCTTCCTGTACTTCAAACTCTCATTTTGAAACGTTGGACTGTCGCAACGGTGATAGAACTAGCAGCGCTGCTGTTTCAATGTGGAAGCCTCGCAAGGCCCATTTCGTTAGCAGAGGTATATTAGCGATCCTGGATAATCGATCGCCTGTTTTGTAAGAGGCAGCTGGAAGACTTGTTTAGTTTTTCCATTAGGATATCTACTGACGCTGAAAGGGAACAGCGGTAATTATTTCTCGGTGTACACCTCTTACAAATGAGGACCCTCACCTAAACTTATAACGTCGGCTCTTGGTGACGTCCGGCCCTGCACGTGGCGGACGGTGTCGTGGCGTCATCTTCGTTGGAAGCGAAGCTGATGCATTGTCTAAGACGAAGTGTTCTTCTACTGGTGCTTCCAGGGCAGCGCAACAGCCTTTACGAAGGTCACACATCTGAGAATCCGAACGACGTCGCAGCGTACAACGGTGTTTTCAACCAGGCTCAAGAGCCCATGCGACGCCATTTCTGACAGAGTCGAAAGAAAATGCCAGGACAGACGAACTCAAAGGTACGTGCGAACAGTGCATATATACCGATGGCTAGCAAGGGCCACGAGGTCGCACTTCATCGTGAACCACCTTGAAATGGTTATGTGGTCTGCTTCAATTTTCATCGAGGGTCTTCAAAACAAACAAAAAGAAGCTACATGTGTTCAAGCGCTGCTGCACTGCCAACGTCCGCATGGTGTGCCGGTTATGTGAACTGCTCGTTCGTTGTGACCCTGGAAACAAGTGTTGGACTGTCCAGTGTGCGTGATCATCCGTGTGAGAAAATGTTGCGCATTTCAAAGACATTGCAACGACGTTCCGGACACTCCTGAAACTGTCGAACAAAGGCTGTGCAAGATGGAAGACATTGTGGTGAAGTTCATATCATGAATGTCAACGTCATGTTGGTAGGAATTCAGTGGTACAACGGATTGTAGTTAGTAGTGAAGACAGAGATGTTAGCTGGTGTTACGACTTCTGTCTAACTTTCCACTGAGATATGGTCCGGGATGTGCTTCCAGTGCTTGTAGTGTCCAAATGCATTGACCTTACCTCTTTTTTTTTTTCTAGAATAAAATAGCGTATAAGAAGCTCTATTGCCAGCTCCATTTCAAGAGATACATTTTGAAGTATGCCTAGTATATACCTCAGTGGAACTGGACTCCAGAAAAATACAAACTAGAAGCAATCCAGCTTGCTGATTGGTGATTTTGTTATTTGTCCGCAGCAAAATAGATGTCAAAGCTTGTTCAGGGGCAACTTGAAAGCCACTTGTTTAATGGAAGCTGTCAGCGAGACGTAGTTTCTCCCAAAATAGAATGCAGACATTACACTAGTGGCTTTTGACTTGTTTTAATACTGAGTGAAAGCTCATGCTTGTGTCTTTGTGTGTCTCATTATTAGCGTCGCGTATATGTTCTGGGTACGTGTACCTGAGGTATTTTTGCAACTGTCCTGTGCTGTTCATCGCAACCGATAGGTTACGAGTTTCTCTAGGCGTTTACAATATGTAGGCATTCAAATAGTTAGTACAACTAGATGGTAAGTTCACGTTTCGGAGAAGAGGTCTTGATGGCTTACCGTCTGTTTCTAAGACAACGATAGTATATGAAACGGGGATTGTAGTCCACGTCCCGCGTCTCCTTCGCAATGTTTCCTTCCGACGTGAAGTGCCATCACGATACACAATCAATCATTGCGATAGTGTTATTGGCCGGGAGCTGTGCATCATAACCACTCATCCTTGTCTTCTATATGATGCAAGCGGTGCTGATACCGGGTCGCTGTAGAAACTACCTTCAAGGGCTGTCGCGTAACTAATCGCAGCAATGCGTAAAACAATTACGAAATCAGTATTGTTGAGTGCATGTGAGTGCAACACTTTTGTCTTAAATAAATATTTATTTTAAGCGATCTTGTCAGACTCGTATTTCTGTGGGTGTTAGGTCCGTGCTTTCAAAACTGGAATACTCCGTCTGGTCCGGTTTTCATCCCTAAAAAGTATGCAGAAAGCGAATTAGTTAAAAACAAGTCTTAAAAAAATTGACCAGCACTTGCGGGCAGAACACACCGTCACGTGTTCTGGCGCGCCGGTTCGAGCCAGTGATATTCATATTTTGAATTGATGATGCTCAAGGTGCACGCTGTGCCCGGCCTTTGGAGTGCGGCGATTTGCCCCACTGATTGGTAACCCAGTACAAATTAAGCAATGGCGTAGAGGTAGTTGTATTCAGCGATTGAGCTGCAGTAATCCAAAGTCACAGAGAAGTGCAGACGGGCAAATTATAATCGCACGATGTCGGCCTTCCGCAGTATCTTGAAGATAAAAGTAATAATAACTTTATTTTTCAAATGAATTGGAGGGACAGTGGAGGAAAAGCCTCCAGTGGAGGCTTGACGAGCCCGAAACCCCATACAGTGACAGGCGCAGCAGCACAAAACACACACACACACACACATACATAAGGAGACAAAAACTTCATCAGAATTTTTACAAACACTACACAGTAGACACTGCTGTAGCCCTAAAAATAACCCTATACAATTCAAACAAACAAATAGATGAAAGGGTAACGCGAACATACAAGGTAGGTAACTGAGTCCACAAATACAAAGATTGTTAGGGATACAAAACTGACACACATTCTCCTTCAGTATGGATCATTTTAAGCAAAATCGGCAAAAATGCCGATTTTTTTTTAAATATTAAGAACAAGAAACGTTTTTACCTGACTACATCCCACGTTTTCATACTCAAACGGCTGAAGAAAATTGGTATTTTTTCAAGCAAAAAGTTAGAGATCTAATTAACCAGTACATCCCCCTAAAGCGCATCCTGGTTTAAGCGTCAACAAAATAAAAAAAAGAATTACGGAGCTGCTGATGCTGGGTATAAACAAGCTGTCGCACAATCAAAGCAAGAATTTGATCAGTGTACAGTTTTTTCTCTTCTAAAAGATAGTCCCCAAAAATTTTGGAGCGTGGTTAGCGGTAATAGATCCAGTGTAGTTGAGGCTTGTAATACGAATAGTGTTTATGCAGGTCAAGATGAGTGTTGCAATGTCTTAAACGATGTGTTTGCTTCTTATTTTTCCCACACGACTCCTACTTGTTATCCTACTATTTTAGCGCTAATTTTAGTCCTGTGTTTTCTGTTTGTATTGATTCATTCGGTGCAAACTGCTGAATACAGAATCTTAAAATATCTGCCTGTGCTGAGATTGACGGCATTCATTCAAAGTTCCTGAGGAGACAAGGGACCTATTCATCTTTGATTCTTTTCAAATTTTCTTCAGTGTTTACAATGTTGCACTATGCCCAGGGATGGGCAGTATTTCAAATACAAGTATTTGAAATACGATTTTAAATACTTTGTGTATTTTGCATTTGTATTTAATTACAAATTGGGTAATGTATTTGACGTGTGTATCTAAATACTAAAACGTGGGTATTTCAAATACAATCGTAATTAAATATAATTTTGTGGGCGAAAATATATCCCTCAAATTTATTGTTACTGTCCAGAGCAGGAAGAAAACTACGTTCTGCACCGAATGCAGGTCTCTCAATCAAACACAAGCGTTTAGTGACTGTGATTAGGGTGCTAGTCCAGGGCAAGAATAATGACGAAATCGACGTTCACAGGCAGACTGGTTAAATAAGTGCCTGTGACAACTTGTGGTGCTTTCCAGCCTGATTTTCATCCATACTTTTGCCTGGAACATTCTAAATGCGCGGGTCGTCCAGATTTTCGTAACTGGTGCGAGTTGCAACAATAAAAAATTCTCTAGCTAGTGCTGCGCGTCTTGGTCGTCTCGGTTCTTTTGTTGGTCTATACCAAAATGTAATCGACAAAGAAAGCTGCTTGAAGCTCTGTACTTTTTTCACCTATTACGTCCAAGCTGATTACATTTTTTTGTGATTATATTTCTATTCCGTTACTAGAGCCTCGCACACTAACTCCCGAGTGTGCGATGCAAAATTAAAACGAGATACCCAGAAAACCGTTGCAGGTGCCCTGAAGTCGCTGACGCAAATTTTGAGGAATGTACTCGGAAAAGTGTTTGGAGGAGACCAAATACATTTGGTTGTATTTGTATCTTGTACTTAAATGCTCTTTTGGAAATGTAATTAGATTTGTAATTAAATACATTTTTGACGAACTATTTTGTATTTGTATTTCGATACATATTTGCATGTATTTTGCCCATCCCTTACTATGCCTAACGATTGGAAGGTAGGGAAGGTGGTTTCTCCTAGTTAAATCAGACAATGCTCGCTCCCCACTGAACTAGAACCATATCATTGACTAGTGTGTCATGTAAATTACTTGAACATATCATTTACTCTTCCCTTGTTGCCTTTCTTCAGACCAATTCTTTTAGGCTTTATGGGCGGCACTAAGCAGACATTTCGTCCTCGTCCCTTGTCGTAGCCGCGCGCGCGAAAAAAAAACAACAATACCTTTTATCACTTTAAGCACCGAGAAGCTGAGTTAGAAGTCGGGACTACACGTCCGCCGTGCCGCACGAAGAGAGCGAAAAGGGTAGCCCTGGCGTCCCGCCAATAATTGCGCGACGAAGGGAAAATCATTGTGTCGTCTGCTTGAAAGATTTGTTTTCAAACATTACTCGCGTTATGCGAAATCCCACTTTGGCACTATCCAGTTGACACACATAATTTTGGATGGTTTTAGAAACTTTCACCACCCACTTCACGGATCACTGGTGGCCGTCGTCAATGTCGTCCACGATGCCAACCACGACGGCTATGAGAATTGATCACGTCGCCCCTCAGTCCTCAGGAACGTCACGGTAACTTTGCACCCGCATTGCGCGACCGTGCTAGAGTTATCGCTTTCGTTTCTTTGCACAATTTGGGCAAAATATGCTTGTTTTTTTACTAACTGGGTTCAATTTTTTTTTTCTGAAACACATCTCGTATCATTTACTAATCACCCGTTTCGCGCTGTTGACGCTGAACTTATAGTTGACCACATTTTTTTTTAAATTTCGCTAAGGCTTTCGACTCTATCTCGCACGACGTACTTCTCTTTAAACTAAGTAGACTTACTATCGGTCCGAACATCTTTAATATGATTAAGTGTTTCTTGCCTAATCGCTCACAATATGTTTCTGTTAATGGGTACAGTAATTCTACTACTCCTGTAACGTGTGGGGTACCACAAGGATCTGTCCTGGGGCCTCTGTTGTTTCTAATATATATTAACGACCTTCCATCGCAAATAGTGTCTTCTAATAGATTGTTCGCGGATGACTGTTTACTTCATCGCGTCATAATTAAACTCTCTGATAGTGCTATACCAAAGCCCGAACTCGACGTAGTTTATTCTTGGTGCACTGATTCTCTCATAAAGCTTAACGTTGCTAAATGTAAAAGCATGTGTGTTTCCCGCCTTTCTGAAAATACTGACGCCTGTCATATATGTCCTTAATGATATACCGTTAGCTTCTGTTACTTT